TTTGTGTTTATAACTAAGAATTAAAAATACATCACTAAGTTTTCCATAAGTTTTCCTTCAARTAGCTATAAAGAAAACTCGAAGCATCATTATAGGAAAAATTTTAAGTGCGTTTCAATTTTAAATTTTTACGAAATAGAGTAATGATAACGATTTACCTACTATACAGCAGAGCAACATCMACGACTTACCCGCTTTTCATAATTTTTAGTTCTTAGAGAAATAATATTCCACATCCACACATGTAAAATAACGTTTAAATTTTTTACGATAAAAAAAAGATCATTAGGTTAAGTGGTATCATAAGTGGTTCATGAGCATTTTAAGCTGTGCATGATTCACATACATACCTAACAAGGTTGAGAACCGCTGATATAATTTTTGTTTTTGGACGGGCGGGCGCACATCAATCCATTGAAAAGAACTGTCATGATTCACAATATTCAAAGTACTGCTTTAAAAGGGTATAACTGCATACCCATAAGCCACAATAATATAATGCAATAACCAAATGGCCAACAAGTGGACTGAACTGAAATTTTAAATGACACGGCTTCATAATAAATTAAGTACTTACCGTCAACACCCCTCACCACCATATTTACTTATGTCAAAGTTATGATGTAAATAAAATTTGGCCGAAAGAGCCAATAGTTCGGCCCTAGCTATCATGTAATTCTGTGCCGCTGTCACGGATTGGCATCACCCCTTCTGAAAAGTTGACTAAGATGCGTCAAAATTGAGCCCATCAGCCCGGCCACTGACCAAACCACCCCCTTTCTTACTGCTTTGGTGTGCACCTGCAGGTTTAATTAAATACAATTCACAAGTAAATATACACATTTATTCGCGTACATTTGACATCTAAAACTTTATAGCTCGTGGTTTAAATTTGGTGTATCAAAAACTTTTTCTTTCAAAAAAAATAAAATAAATAAATAAAATGATAAAATGCATAACATAAGCAGTAAGCACCCTTAGTTTTTTTTTAATGAAATTGTACCTATGGTGCGGCCTCTGACTTACACACGCACGTAAGACAGAGGCAACATGAACTCCTTCCTCTAAGGCAGTGTTTCTCAAACGGATGGTCACGACCGCTTTGACCCCGCAAAACATTTTTTTGGGGTCACCAATTCATGAAAAAAGAACCTTTTCACTTAGAATCTTATAAATTTAGTTATGATATTGATAGTAAGTGTAATATATATTATATTATAAACTAATACCAGTTATATATAAAATAAATTTCAAGAAAAATATTTCTTATTACATATAAGATAACGATATAATCGATTACACGTTGTTCTGAGTATGTTACTGATGTTTCGTCAATCATCATTTGTACGTCGTACATCAGGTGAAGTAAATTGTGTGATTATATTATTATAAGTTCGTACATTGTACATTGTGCGTTTTATCAAATACCTAATTAAATAATGAATAAGCAAACATCTTTGGAAATGAAATTTCATCAAATTATTCATCTTCAGTAATTTTGAACGATCTCGACTTAGATGTTAGTGAAAATGAATGAGACCGTCACCACCATTTTAAAAAGTAAAGCTAACTGCAAAAATATTGAAGTCTAAGGTAATTATACAGTGTATTCATATTATATAGGTAGAGTAAGGTACATTTTAATTTATTCAAACCGGGATAAACATTTTGTATGATTTTCATGGGAGAAATCGTACCACTCCTCCACGGTCAACCACCAATTTTTAATATCCTAGCTATTTTGCAAATTCGATTTACATTTTTTTATCTTATAATAATGGGATAATAGCGCAAAAATAAATTGTATTACCTATTACCTTGAACAGTATTGTAACTGTTGCACTATAAAAATTAACAGATTACACTTAAAAATTTACCAGTCATATTATTTGTAGTACTCTAATATAGTGCGTTTTTCTGTTTTTCTATTTCAAAAACTATAGTGATCAAGTTCAGTTAAATTTAGTTTTATTATATCGAATTTTTACGGTTAGGTAATCAACTTGATTATTCCATCATGTATTGGATCTTATAAAGAAACCATTCATGACAATGTTGGTCAATCGAGTGATCTTAACTTTCCTAGTCTATCATTTATCAAAATAAAACCCTACATATTTAGTGTCACAGAATTTTAAATTTATTTTTAATAATTCTCGATAAACATGCCTATTATTAATGACTGTAAACATTAAATAATTGAGTAAAATATCTTTAAAGCATAACATTATATCTGAATGTCATGATTCAATAATTAATTTAAAAAATACAAAATATTTTTTGATTTCTAATTAAATTCACCCGATTAAATAGGTCTTTAAAACAAATTTACAAATGGTGAAAAATTTTAGCAAAGAATTATGATAACAATTATTAATAATAATAATTAATGAAGGGAATTGTTTCTATGAATATTACTTAAGTAAAATATCATTAAACTTACTGTTGAATAGAATTTAGTATTTAATCAGTAGAACATTTTTTTTTTTTTTAGCATTATCTAAAAATTGTGAATATTGTCAAGATATAAAATTATATTTATGGGCCAGGTTTAAGTAGTACTTCATTGATAGTTATTTTGTATATTGTGTCATTAATAGTTTAACTTTAATATCATTTGTATTAACTTAAAAACCTCTATACATAACTTAAATATTAGTTACCAAAATGATTTTGATACAGATTAATAAATTAATGCATACCAATATGCACAATTTATAAATTTAAATATGTCATATACATTTTTTAAATTTGTATAAATATATTATTTTAAATTATATTTTCGATGTACATTTGTATACAGATATATAATAAATCGTTAGTTACAATATTTCTTAACTATATTATGTATACTCAAATAATATAAAATGTTTAACCGTTAACATTTTTACAAACACATATAACAGTTGTGTTGATATCCTAGTTATTATACAAAAAAGTCTAAAATCAAAATATAAGCATTAGATTTTAAAATTTTTGATTTTGACATCTGATGACACTTGTATTAAAAATAAAAACATTCAAGATACAAGAATATAAATATCAATACCATAAGAATTAAGGTATAGTAGAACTTTTATACAACTCAACAGTAAAGTTTGAAAAAAAAATACTAAATTATTTTCATTGATTTGTAAATAATTCACATGATAAGTATTAAAAAAAAATATTTTATTAAAATGTTGTATAATTCACAAAATAAACTTACTTGATAGTAATATGTTTAGTTAATTTAATCAATATAAATGAGCAACAATATTCGAGACAGTCTCATAATTTTATCAATTTTATTTCAATATTTTATAATAATTATTTAACTATCTTAAAAAATTGGATATTTTAAAGAATTTGTTACATACAATTGTTAATTCAAACTAATTTACCTAAAATGTCATAAGTATCACAGGTTTGAAAAATAATTTGATTTTTTTTATTAGTATCATAGGTATATACGATGTCATAAAAATATTTTAATCTCAATAACACAGTTTGTTAGTTAACTGCTTATTTGTATTATAATATATTATATATATAAATATAAAAAAGATGCTTATGATGAACAACTACAATAGTAGAAGAGGCAATTAAAAAACAATACATTTAACATATTAAATATAATATCCTTATTTTTTAAACAAAAATAAAATTTTCAACAGTAAAACAGGTTTTATATATTACAATTCTGCTAAAATAACAAAATGTKACTAATACATAGTAAAATAATTGAATAAATTCTAGTATTAAGTTAATATACAATTTTCTAAAATTGAAAAGTTTTGTTTTACTACTCATTTAGTAAGAATGACTTGAGTGAATAATAAAAATGATAATTCTACTATCATCATATTTCAATTAAAAAATAGAATATTATTATTACAATTATATTTTATTAGACTTAAATTTTATTTAAAGCTAACAAACTATTATGTGAATTATGTATAAAATGTTCATACTTAATATGCCTCTTTTACTATTCACATATTATTGCATATCATATTACTGCATGTTTTGTTCTAAGTTATTTTTAAATAATTAATTTATCACAAATAAAATATTGTTGATGAAAATAGTAAATATTTAATTTGAATTAATACAAAATACAGTTGAATACCTAGTTGATTTACGGAAATAACAAAATGTAAAATTTGCACCAAATTTCATCTATAAGCAACTGCAATGAGAATTGTTAATGTTGAACTCGTGTAGTTGGTAAATCTCGCTCAGTAAAAGCAGTCCTTGATCGACTGCGATATAATAATGGAGCTCTTTTATCATCTAAAATATTATAAATTTACATTAGATACAATACACATATAATTACACGTGATAATTGATGTAATATAAAAGTGTATTACCTCCGGTATTTGTGCCACCTGGTCTTCGACGTCTTTGATCGCGACTAAATGCAGAACCAGTTTGCAATGCCTCAAACAAACTATCCATTACACCTTCTTGTGTATGATCTGCATTCATATCAATTAGTGCTTTTTTACGTGCTGCTCGTTCCTTTTTTTCTTTCTCTGCTTTATCACGAGCATCTCGAGCCCGACGACTTTTTTCTTCAGCTTCTCTTAGCTTATGATTTTCTCTTTGAGCTTCCTAAAATTCATATTATTTTTTATAATTACACATCGATAAAATATTTTTTAGATCATTATAAAGTTAATTTAAAGATCAAAAGCAGACTCTGGTAATAATTAACTGTTTTGATCAATGGTCAATTTACATAAATTAAAAAATAGTATAATATAGTATATATGAATAATGAATAGAGTAAGCTATAAAGTACTATAGAGATTGATAACACTTTTAAAGGGAAATAATTTTTAATGATTGATATTATAAAATGTATTGTATATCGCAGAATAGAACAAAATTAAAATAACATGTTTTTGACACCGAGACGTCTATTTAGTGTATTACACTATTACAATTCATTAATAGTAATTATTCAAAATTTACTTACATAGAAACTATCTTTAAATGCTTTAAGGTCGGTGAAAAATTCTTCTAAGGTATATTTTGACTTGTCAAATACATAATATTCAGCTAAATCATCATATAAAGCTTCCATTTTCTTACACATATTTTGTAACAATTCAAATTGTGACTTGGCTTCTTTTGCAAATGGCTATAAAAAATGTTTCAAAATTTYGAAATAATTATTATAGTAGTAATTTTATTACTACATTTTAATATAATATTTTTAATTTTAAACATTATTTATTTAAGAAATAAACCAATATTAAAATACCACAAGAGTAAACAAAGATAACAAAATCAAGGGACTAATGATTTATGCTGCAGTTGTATTTAAAAAAAAAAAAACAAGGTTTGGAAAATTTGTCTGAACTGATTTTAGTGCTATTATAAAAATGCAAAATGCAAAATTTATTTTTTGTATGGTATAAATTATATAGAGATGCATTTTTATTATTGTAACTTAAAAAACAAGAATAAAGTTTTGAACTCAATGAATATTTTCTTAAAGCTCTAAAATAGTTTAAAAAACTTATGTTTATTATGGATTTGTAAGGAATACTTACAGTCATAACTTCTGAAAATAAATCATCTTCACCACATTGTTGTTTACTACAATTATTAGCAAGGTCTACATCGAGGTTACGTAAACTCGTATCCATAATACGTAATGTTTTTTGTATAACATCAATTGATACTCTAGCAGCTCTATCACAGTGTGTTAGCTCATCACCAAATGTAATTAGGTCTGGATAGTTTTTTTCAACGATATCAACAAGATAATGAAGAAGAGTTGACTTATTTTCTACATCTTTTATTGCAGCGAGCTGTTTGAGTAAGAGAAGTAAATTAGATGTTTTTAAATTTCAATACATTATTTATTAATTTAATGAATTTAATAACTATAATAATACTAACTTTTGGTAAAAAACTTATCTCAAAACCATAGGCTTGCCCATTTCGTGAACCACTATTCATATAATTCCCCAATAATAAAATAAGCTCCAACATTTTATTAAATTTAACACCACTTTTAACTTCTTCACAAGCTGCTGTACCTGCTACAATAGCTGGCTTAATATCTTGTACCATCTCAGGATGATGTTGTCGATAACTTAAAGATTTTAGCCTAGGAAGCAGTCTTTTAATTTCTCCCATCTACAAATAATTTAAATTATGTTAAAAATTAGGCATAATCACAATTTGTAATAAATTTAAAACATTAGACTTTAATCTTTCGGATAACTTAAATAGGTTACAAAATACTCACAGTTACAGCAAATTGTTCTGCTTCTACAAGATCCTCAAAAGGACAATCCAAATCTCTTAGTTTTTTTAATTGATCTGGTGGTGGTAAATAATTGATAAGTTGATCCAGTACATTGCCTTTTAATACTACATCATCACATTTAAGAACACCGCGTTTCACATCAGCATAGCTTAAATGTTTTAGTGAACCGCCCAATAAAATAGAAAGATTTTGCGAAGCTTTTGGTTCTAATACTTTTAAACATCTTACTTTCTTTAGAGTCATTGTCCTACAAGTATGATGAAAAAAGTGGTATTGTTAGAAGTTTTTTGACATTCAACATTTTTCTTATTTTTAATTCAATAAAATTATAAAATATTATTATACTTGTCAGTGGAATCTTCTGGTTTTTTTCGAGCTGGTTTTGATGAAAACTTTTCAGATAACCCTTGTAATATATCATTAGATGCTAAAGCTTCTTCTTGAACACGTGCCCAAAAACATTTGTCAGATACTTTTTGAGGTATTATCTAAAATTGTATGAATATAGAGAGTTAAGCGACTGAAAGTATAATAAATATTACCTAATATAACTTAATTATTATTAGGGATTGGATTTAAATGCCATAAAAATATCAAAATATGCATGTATGACTTAAAAACTCTAAAAATACCAAAAAATGTAACTAAAAATCTCCAAAAATTGGTCACACTTTACAGTACCGTTATAACTAGAAGTTGGATTTATATTCTCTTAAAATCCTTAAAATATGATGTTTTTATGTCGCATAAATTAGGCAATATATTCTMTTAATATTCTTTTAAAATACCAGATATATGATGTTTTATGTCCTTAAATATGCAAAATATTCTTTTAATATTAATAAAAATTCAGTTTAAATTTATTTTAGCTAACGAAATAACCTATGTGCTACCGCAATCGATAAGGAATACCTGGAGATTAATTTTTATTAAAATCCAGAAATTAATTATTTATAAACAGAATTATTTAGTGAACATTATACCTATCAAAGTGCTGATATACGTGAAATATATTCATTATATGCCGATATTACAAAAATATTCTCAAATATTCTCTAACCCATAAAATATGCTTTTTTATGMRRAATWMATTTTTTCCTATGARTTCTGTGTTTCATGAATCGTAAAGATTTCTCACTCCCACTTAACTGCATAGACTAGAAACAAATATGTAAAATCACAAAAATCCGACCTCTAGTTATAACATTATTGCTTGATAACAAAATACAATGATAAAAGTTATATGCAAATAAGTTGGCTAATAGGTTGGTGTGACATAAAGATAAATTTAAGCTTTGTTTAATTTAAAACTAGATTACCTGATATTACAGTTCAGAACAGAAAATATATTGCAATTGCATAGAGCTATGTTTATATTTCAATGAATTCAATTGTTTTAGTCATAATATAAGAAATAGGTTAAAAATGTCCAAAAAGTTTTAAAAATTAATAACAACATTAAAAATTGATAAACATGCAGAATGATTACAACATGGAGTAATTGAAACACATCTATAGCTTGGAACACTAGTGTAAGACTGTAAGACATTCTAGAAAAGGATGCAAAAACATTAAAATCCAAGTGTTAGTTATTATAAGATAATATTTTACTAATCAATAATAATATTATCCGTCTTGTACATTAAAAAACATCTAATATAAATTATAAGTTCATGTTACTATCACCTTTATTCTTAAAATATACTTGTATTAATTATGTTTACTTACACTTTTCCAGTTTGCTCGCTTAATACCTTCTACATGCCACAGTTTCTTAGGTTTAAGACCAGGAGGTAGTTGAGATCCTAAATTACCAAGTGGCGGTGGTGGACGAGGTATTCCACCCCCCGTCATACTTGGTAATGGCGGAGGTGGAGGAGGACCACCTCCAGGCATTGGTGGTGGTGGTGGTGGAGGTGGACCAGCAGAACCAGGCATAGGAGGCGGAGGTGGGAAATTACCACCAATAGGTGGTGGTGGTGGTGGCGGCGGCGGTGGTGGTGGAGGTGGAACACCAGTATTTCCATCTTGCTTTTTATTTAATCCTGGTTTCCCATTCTAAATTATAAAACATGGCAATGTTAAAATAATGTATTGTTAATAATATGCTATAAACATTTTGATATTTTTATCTTTGTCCTCAATGTATGTATACGGTATTTGATTTTCTAAGAAAACTTTTAAATTTGTAATATCAAATAACGATATATAATACAAGTTTATCTACAATATTTGTAAATGAATACTTAAGTATCATTAATGAGTATACAGAAATATTCTTAAAATGTCTATATTCTGCTTAATTAATTAAATTATCAGTCCAAAATAATAATGTATATATATTTACAACAAATTTTCTTATGTTGTTCATACTTGCTTAGCAGAACTTACCTACCATTTATATTTTCTGTTAACATATTAACTTAAGCTAATTATTAATTGAAATATTTGAAAAGAAATGATGTATTTTTCACTAATTATTACAATAAAATATTTACGTTTTCCATAGATGAGTTTAACATGAACTCTTTTATTGTGGTTTCAGCTTGAATTAATTTGGCTTCTGCTTCTTGGCGAGTAGCTACGGCGTGCTCTAATTTATCTTTTAACTCTTCAACTCTTCTATCTTCTTCAGCTTTAGATTTTTCTATCGTCAAAAAATAGTTAAAATTAATCTAAAAGAGTTAAAGTTATAACTTATAACACAGTTCAGAAAAAATTGTTATTTATTTACCAACAACAGTGTCAATTAATGGTTGTACATCTATTTGAAAACGCTTAGTAGCATGAAAATCTGGATCACAGCCATTGCGATGTAAGACAATTTGTGATACACATTCTTCTATAAGTTTGTAAAAAGCAGGCCTTCAAAAAAAAAAATAAAATTGAAACAAATTATCAACATTTTTTTTCAGTTTATTCTAATAATAGCATACAATACACTAGATAATTTTCAACTGAAGATTGTTTAAAATWTGTAGGTTTGGTTTTTAAATTAATAATGATAATTCATTATTGATTTAAATTATCCTATATATATAGTAGTATTTTTATTTTAGTTCTTAAACAACATTTATTGAATTTTTTTTTTGTAGCAATTACCATTTAATAAAATATATAAGATACGTGGTACTTAGTTTATAAATCTTATATTATACAACTAAAAATATAAACAATAATATGAAAAATAACTTTTTCAAAGAGAAGCAAATATTTTAATAATTATAAATATAACTTTAACCATGACAAACCCAGTTATTACAAGAAATTGAATTATTTTTTAATAATTAAAATTAAGATTTTCTACTTATTTTAAATTACCTTCTCGAATGATTTCATCTTTGAAAATACTCAATGAAATATCAAAACTAACAAATAATAATTATTATAACCAGGTTAATTGCTATATTTTTTTAAACTAAATTAGTTAGTTTTCATTGATGTGCAGAAATGATCTTTTTTTGATTTAAAACAATTTTTTATTTTATGATTACCAATTATTAACTGTTAAGAAATGTTACCTGATAGAAACATCATCTTTAATAAATAGAAAATGTTGAAGTATAGACAATAGATATGGTTCAGCAGGCGAATCAGCCACAATGTTCTTAATAACATCAAAACAATCTCCAACGTCATCAAAATCCATGCGTACATTATCAAATCTTTGGACCAATTCTTCATAATCGTCTTCTTTATGTACATTAAATATATTTAATTGTCTACTGAGATCTTCACTGCAATCTTTTTCTAAGCTCTAAAAGATATTCATAACATAAATGATTAAATACTTAAACTAAATTAAAAACTAAAATGAAGACTTACATCAATAACATCATACATGCCAGCTCGCATGATTTCATTTCGTAGATGACCACGAAATTCTAAATCTTCAGGCGTGGATACAATGGCATTAATAAACTGCAAGCAAGCTACCTAATAAAATGGAATTAAGTATATCAGTATACAGCTAGACTAATTACTTAATATTTCTCTCACCACTTTTTAATATTAATTTTATTTATTGTAGTAAGTAAAAAAAAAAACATTTGCATAATATTTTATCATCCCTTAGAAATATATGGTGCAAGCAAAGAATATCTTATTGAATAAAAATATATAGTTTTATACTATAGAATTTTATTTCTCATTTAAAACATTTATTGGAATATATAAAATCTGTAGTAATACTAGTTACAATAAGAATATGAGTGGAAATGTACAGTTGACTATGAAAATCGTGAGGGGAGTAGCTACCCAGCAGTAACACTATATGATTTAAAATATTTATTTTCAATGTAACAAGACTTTGATTGACATTATTTAATAATTATAAAAAAATCGAAAAATTAAAATATTAAATACTTATTTTTTTAAAGTTTAATAAACTGCTATAAATATAGTACATATAAAAGCTAAAATATATTTACTTACTCTCAAAGCTTCATTTCCTATAGTTTTTAGGCCCTGAACGATAGGTAAAAATCGACAACGATTTTCAATATCAGCACTCATAGTTATAGCTTCAAGAGCTTTCTCATGACCATTTGGAGGTATTAAGCTAACAGCTGCTAAGACTTTTACAGCCTCCAACATAACAGCAGGCTTATTAATATCAAGCGATCGAGCAATAACGGTCAATGCTTCTTTGTGTCCAAACATTTGTTTTAAGCCAACAGTGCTATTCATGATTGCTTTTAAACATCTGATACATTCATATTGTATACGAGCAAACTGAGCATTTTTACCATCACTAAAAACAACATCAAATGTTTATTGAAAAATCTTTAAGATTTATTAAATACTAAATTCCAAAATATAAAATTGTTAAAAAATTAAGATTAGATCTTAAAAATACCATATATCAGTAATATTATCAAATTATCACAAATCCAATGTTGTACAATGTACAACCTCAGAAACAAATTAATTTAATTTAAGTTTACAATGTACTAATAGAACTTGGAAAAATTTAATAGATTTTAGTATTAAAACTATAATAATAATTTTCTTTTTCATTGATATTTATATCATATTATCTATCAACAGGAAAGTTGCATTAGATTCAATACAAGTAAAGTATATGTACTTGAAATTTTAACAATGTTTAACTCATATCAATTCTAATATAATGATACAGTATATTTAAGCCAAATTGATGGTATCAAATTATTTTAATGTTTGTGTTAAGTTATAAGTATCAAATCTTGCCTAGTAGTTGCAACATTTGGCCTTATGAACTATTTTTTAAAAGTTGAATCAACGAAAACAAAATCTAGAAATTGCCTTATTTGTTTTCGCCTTCATAGTTACTATCTGATTTACCGAAAAAATCCTTTGATAATCTACTAATATCAATATAATTATTCTTTATAAGTATCAATTTAATGTATCGATACTTACATTCAATATCCTATATCTATCCATCAATAACTTTATTTCCGTTAGTTTTATTTTAATTTCATAAACATATATGATCAATTTAATACTATAATATATACTTTTACTTACTTGCGATAACATTCATTGAGCACAGATAATACTTGACGCAATCCTTCGGTGCCAAATTCACTAACCCAGCTTAATGGATGATTAGTTAAAGCAATACGGAGAGATACTACACAATTATATGTCTTATTGGCACTTAAATCTGGTTGAGAAAGATATTGGATATACTCTGTAGGTTTGTCACATGTTTTTTTATTTCCTTCCTATTAAAATGGTATTTATAACAGCATTAACATTTTTAATACAAAAAAATTCTGATCTAAAAAAAGTTTAACTTACATTATTTGACTTTTTATAATGCATCATTAACATTTTCTTTTTATTCACAACCGATTGGTCTCTTATTGGGGTTTTTTTCTCTTCTGTTAAATTCATATCATCCTAAAATAAATATAAAATTAGATCAATTGAATATTATGTATAGCGTAAATATACTTGTTTGTTAACTAAAAACATTATATTATATGTGTAAGTGAATTATTAGAATATATTTTTATTATTACCAGCATTTCTTCAAACTTATCATTGAGTGCTTCTACATCTAAATGTTCAATAAACATTTCACACTCATCTGCATCGTTGTGGCCACCTGATGAAATATCATTATCCGAGTTAATACGTGGCAAAGAACGGCTGCCAGCACCATATGTACTTCCACTGCTGTAGATACCATTGCCACCGACACCACCGATGGGTGATGCTGCTGCTGACCCATATTTTTTTGGTCGTCCAAACAATGTATCTAGCTGTAAATACATAAATAAAATCAATATTTGATATGGTACACTTGTAGTATGATACCTATTGCTATTCCATTGGTGTTAGTATTAAGGTAGCACACCTACCTACTATAAAATTCTACCTATCAAAAAAACTTTACGAGTATTTACCGTACTTTACCTACTGATATTGATTAATAACAATTTATTTAACTAAAATCGATTTAACATATTGCCAACAATCATCAAGTATTTTAATACGTCATAAATTATTATATTAGCAAAAATTTCAAATTAATATTGTCATTTAGTGTTTTAATGGACTGCCACCATCCCTATTTTAGTTAGCAGTCTATTAAATCTATTACTTTACCCAAAGTGATGGAAGGACATAACATAGAAAAAAATAATATAATATCTAAAAGTAAGTTATCGTGGATCTCGGTAGATATATTTTACAAGTTATCACGATGCCAAAAAAAAACATAGACATATAATAGAAAATAAATAGCTTTTATAGTATCTGTTGTATCATCCTTAAAATATGTTATGTATCTTAAATCTTAATAACTCGAATCATAAGTATGCCCCATAAACAATTAAATAAAAATATAACATAATATATAAGATTAAGACAAGTATGATATGTTGGTAGCTTTATGAAGTTTTCGGGTAGGAAACAAAGTACATGCGTACAATTTTTTTATTAGGTAGCATATTATACTAGTTAACCTTTGATTTACAATAAGTAAGAAAAAAGTAATAGCAGAAAATAATAAAAGTAAAAAAAATTCATGTAAAAATAAAATTTCATATTAAGGAATTTAGTAGGTATTAGTCCAATAATTTAAAATAAATGTATAAATGTATAAATATTAATAGCACTTACAAAACCAGTGGTTGGCTTGGTTTTTTCTCCGCGAGACATGTTTATTCTGTTGAATATTGATTACTTTCAACATCTAAAACAAATAATAAAATCATACAGTTCATTCAACAGACAGAAAAACTTAAWTAAATTGTAATATACATAAGGGCTGTAATCTAACAAGAAATCTCAATATCATAATTTAATGAAACAATTGAGAAATATGATGTTACATAGTGGACGTTGCAAAATGTAAAAACCAATAAAATACCAATCGATTTCGAGCATTCTGAAATATTTAAAAAGCAGGTATGACTATTTATCAAAAATATTTACTTAAAAACCTGTTGAATGTTACTACCATACATAATAATATGTATCAGTAAATGAAACAATGCAGGAATCGTGAAAGCGTAGTTAATGATGGAATCTAGTAGAATAGCACCGGTTTGAACATTTCGACGTGTATACGTTACTCACCAAATGATTTTTTAGTTTGTTTGATATATATTATATATTATAAAAGGCAAATAATAATCGTAATAAAACACTTAAAATTAAGTTACAACAACAACAACACGGGCAATTAAAATAACTTGAGTGTTATCACTTATCTGCTTGTACCACAGTCTCGGTTAGATAAGGCATTCTAAAAAAGATAAGATCTCCCACAACCCGTAGTTTGTACCCTGGTCGAACGTACGCTATTCCGTCACAATTCATTGCAACCGTTTACAGATCCAATTGGTCGCAAGTCATCAAATACCGGAAAATCGTCGAATCGTCGATTATTACCCATTAATTTTATACATTTTTATCAATATTACTACAATAATATATCGACGATTCTCATAGGTGTACGCAATTCACGGCACTAACGTGGAATAAAATATATACGTGCGACTATGCGAGCGCAACACTCGAAGGTCCTAACGTTACGCTACGCTCCGTTACGTACCTGTTTTCTACCTACCTCCAAACGGCCGTTATCGTTCTAGGCCGTTTGCGCAATAATTTATTGTGTATTTAATGTATTTATGTATGTATGTAACAAATAAATGTTTGTTCAACGAATAAGTAGGAAACTTTTTATTTTCATGTGCTTAAGTAATATAAATTACATTTTTTGGTTAGGTGCTTAAAAAAAAAAACATAATATAATGTAATGTACATTTTTATAGCGTCATAGACGTTAATGATATGTTATGAATTATGATATGATGATACCTATAAAAACATTACCTACGTCGACTGATTTTTTTTTAAGGCTGTTTGATATTGTATTCCTCGTTACGTAGGGAAAGTAATTTTTATTAAAACAACGCTAACGCACTTTCATGGAACGCCATTTAACTGGYGCGACTTTTTAAGTGGCCGAAACGACGTTGATGTCAGAATTTGTCGGGCCTTGAGAAATTTAGTTTTGATCAAAAGCCAAAAAAAAACTGCAAATACCTACGCGATGCACATAAATATACCAGCTACGGAGGCGGAACTCTACATACCTCTCCCTACTTTAAATAAGCAAAACTATAATGATTTATTTTCGGAGGGGATTATACATAGTCATAGATTACATGCCTATAGTCTTACTATATTTATACAAGGGGAAACTATATTATTCTTCAATTATCTCAACCATTTTTAAATACGTATTCAATACTATTAAATCATCAAACTAGGTATTTTTAAAATTATATAGTTAAATTATAATTCACCTAATTAATATTAACCCTGGACTAAACACCTTAGCTGCATGCTATTAACACTGATGTTAAAAAATTGAATTTCAAAAAATAAATGTTAATTTATTTAAATGATAAAAATTATTTATTCAAAAATTCATTTTTTCATAAGCGTTTTAGATTGGACGGATTTTTTTTAAAATAGTTATAATAAAAAAAAAAAACATACAGTTTATAATTTGCTGACCTAATTTGTTTAAATGTTGTACAAGATTTCTTCTAAGTTACTCTCACTTGAATAAACAAAAAATTTAGTTTAAAGACACATTCATTTTTATGATCTGCTGACGTTAAATAAATTATTTATTGTGGAAAATATTGATGGATGGATTATGGATATTATCAAAAGTATACATATACTACCATTGATTATAAATACTATTAGTATTATAATAGTATATTTTATAATCAATGATACTACATAGGTATTTTGCATTTATGCACAGTATTTATTTTTATAATCATACGACAATATACGTTAAAATAATGTAAATGTTCCAATATAAGTAATAATTTTAAGTATAGGTTACCTACCTACTGCCGAGTACCTACCTACATAGTTTTATAATTTTAATAATGTACACTTTAAAAATATTGAATACAAGATTTCTCATTAGTTTTACTCGCAATAAATTTAAAACTAAATAAACAAATACTAAATAAACTAATTAACTAATATACCAGCAATATTTATTCTTTTATAGATATTTGAAGTTAAAACATTATTAAATTGSTTATTCAAACGAAAATAATAACTATTTTAGTTATTAGTTTATTACTTATTTAATTATAATTTTATGTTATAAACTAGTAAATAATTACTATTTATACCAGGAACACATTATGTTTTGTTCTATTGCGTACGTCGGCATTGCTTTATTAGTTCATAACAATAATATTGTATCATAATCTAATACAAGCAATACAGCACGAGATGACGAGGTACACCCGGGGTTTTATAAAGTAGGTAGTTTGTAGTACAGCACGGCAAGTTCTCTGATTATTATTTTTTTTTTATTATATACATAATATACATAGCCACATAGGTACCTATATACATATATGACCACATGTACAATGTGCCTATCTATATTATTATATTATATACCATATATATGTGTAAAATATATAAAATATATACTATTGTATATCCAATAGTAAACATTATATAGTGGCCACAGTCATCCTTACTGCTATTATTTTTTTTATCACTTAAATGCCTGCCTGTTTACATTATGATTTATAACACATAGTATCATATTACTTAAATATTTGACGTAGTACTGATATTTTATAGAAAAATAATTCTTGAAGCAGCTTGAAAATTAAAACCAACTAATAATTAAATTAATATTAGCATTCTATCACGGATCACGGATTTTAGTGATTTTACATTATGTGAATAACCTCATTAACCTGCTGTCTGAAGATCACTGTAGTACATTTTCATCATAATTAATTAAGTATATTAATGTATTATAATGCTAATCTTAATCTACTTATCCAACCGAATGCCGGTTATAATTTTGGTATACCGCCAGATTGCCGTAAGTTTGGTTGTAACAGCCGACCTGATGGTTACACATCATAAGAGCAATATTTTTAGTTAGTAAACATTACTGTATAAATTCTTTAACATTAATAATATATAGTATACCAAATTAGGTACCTATTAGGTATTATATTAGGTGCTGGTGCCTATATTGACTATCTGGATATATGGCTATCTGTATTTTTGTTCCTAGTATTTGTACCTATGAAATTACCATTAAAAATTATACTTCTTAAGCAATCATCTCAATAGAAAACAAATATAACATTTGATTTGCCTAAGACGAATGTAGCCTGTAGGTACTTAGTCCTAAATATTAAAACATAATTTAAAAATAACAAAATTGACCGAGAAAATGTTGTAAGTCGCTTCAAATCAAATGGACTAACTAGAACTAGATAGGCATTCTAATTAATTTATAAGTAAAAACTACAAATTTGTAAAACCACATTTATTAATGGAAATAATCAATTATTTAATAAAACATATTTAAATTTATTATGAAGTTCATTTTGAGTCAGTACAAGCACCCATACTAATTACTATATCACGTAATTTTATATCGTCTCTTACAGCACCACAAGTCCAAATACACTTCATTTAAATATAGTTCTAAAATTCGATTTTATTTTTTAAATTTAATGTAAGATCTTTTCTTTTTTAAGGATCATAAATTGAATATGTGTCTCAAAGGATTCAAAGTTGACTTAACAACAGAATAAATTATGTTTCAAAAATTATTAATGGCTTAAAATTCTAGTCGGTGTGTGAAATCCCAATAAGTCCCGAACTTTTGTCATAAATGTGTAGTAATTGATAGAAGCAAGTAAAGATAATATTATTAAACATCAGGTATTTATATCTTATTATCGTACACCCTTTCTTTTTATTGGCAAACATATTATATTAATAACGTTATAATATTGTAGATAAATTATTCATATTTGATCCTCTTATTTATTTCCAGAACAGAATATTCATTATTTATCTCTAAAAGAAATCGAATAATTGTTACAATATTATTCATTTTAAATGGTAATTGTACATGCTATAATAATAATGAGCAGTATCATACTATTCTTAATTATATTTAGATTAATTTATAATTTAAAATACATTACCTAAGTGTTTTTTGTAAACGAGTATTAGTATAATACCGCATGATACCGCACATAATATTATGATTAATTATTATTTTCAATCAACTGTGTTTGAAGCATGATGACTCACTGTTTTAAAATAATGGAGAAAAAATATATCAATCATTAATTATATTATATAGGTATTATTTGGAAGGTAATACCAATAATACGTTTGTTAATAAATATTATTGATATTGTTGACCAATGTTTAATACTTTTGGTTAATTAGTTTAGTATAAGAAATGTTACAGTAACAAGAGTTATATTTTTTTTAAACTTACAATTTTTAGCGTATTTGTTAGTTAAAAAAAATAAAAATTATAGCTGTTCCATAATTAACATATATTTTTCCATAATTAAATTTTAAACTCAAACAAAAAATAATTAAATACCTACCTATACTTTGATGTTTATACCATTATACGCATAAGTATATGATTGAATATTTGAATATAATAGTCGAGGGAGAGGTATAGGCCAAAGAAAAAGTGGTTAGAGGTCAGGGTTATGATTAGGGAATATGATGGTATCGGCATATGATGGCATCGGCATATGTGGCATGGATATAGAGATAGTTATGTGTAGGAAGTGGTGGAAGACAAATACAAGAGTAGTTGACCCACGTGGCGTCGGAAAACGACGATGAATACCTAAGAAATAACCATCTACATATTTAAAAAATCTAATAAGCCATTAGAATGATATGGTAAAAAAAATTGAATTTTATAAAATCGAAAAATATACCTACCTAATAATTTTTATATATTTAAAAAAAATAAGTACATTCAATTATAATTAAAATTGTTTTTTTTCATTGTTTATTTTCTACTTTTACGATTTTTAACCCATAAATGCATTTACGTAATATCCTTTTAAGTTTTAAATGTAAATATTATAATATAATAGCCCCTATATAGGTACCTCTTTTTACGATTGAAATGTTTCATATTTAAATAAAATGCCATCGGTTTCATCGTTCTTTTCTATTTACCTACTCCACTATCGTTAGTTTTTTAAAATTAACTAATCTTTAACGGCTGTTATAGAAAAGATCTTTATTAGATAGACCAAATTAATATGCTCTAAGAGTATATAAGTATACTTTAGGGTCTTGACTTCTGAAGCAKCTAAGCTATGTTAGACTCAGACACACCTTTATAGAATGTAACATTGAGTACATATAGGTGCAACTTGTTTGCATAAATCTAAAAAATTGTGAAGTAAGTATATTAATTTTTTTGGCACTAATGATCAATCCACCTATGGAAGTAATCATGTAGCATGGCAGCATATGCTTACTACCATTTTAGATTCTGAACGAAGTGATGAATGTATTGATTTTACAATGATGTGTGTTTTTTTTTTTGTGTGTCTGTGTACAGCATAACTAGCCGAAATAATGCTTCGATTTCAAACTTTGGGGGTGGTTTCTGATGTAAAATTGAAGATCCTTGATGCAGTATACAGGTCAAAAGTAAACATTTTCCAACAGTTTTCAAAGAAATCGAGAAAAACCAAAAAAAAAAAATGACAGAAAAACGGGAATTTTTACGCAAAATCAATTTTCGACTAAATCGATATTTTTATATGGTTATAATTCAAAAACCAAACACTGTAAATACTTGAAATTTTCACCAGATGTTAATGTTAATGTTATCTTTGTACAGTTTAATTTTCAAAAAATTTTGACTTTTTTTGAGTTATTTATAGACCACTGAAATTTTCAATTTTTTTGAGAAATTTTTTTTTGAAGTGTCGGTAAAAAAATGTTGGACGACCAAAAAAACTTGAAAAATTAATACAAGGTTCCTTAAGAGTTTTTCTTAATGTAGCTAAAAAAAATTAAAAATCGTAAGTCACAATTTTTTTTAAAAAGCGTTTATAGTTCAACATTTTACGAAATCTGTCGAAAACGCGAAAATTTGCAAGTAAGTTCGAAGTTGAAAAATCATAAAATTTTTTGCTTTTATAACTAAGGATTAAAAATACAACACTAAGTTTTCCATAAGTTTTCCTTCAARTAGCTATARARAAAAYTCGAAGCATCATTATAGGAAAAATTTTAAGTGCGTTTGAATTTTAAATTTTTACGAAATAGCGTAACGATAACGATTTATCTTGAAACGATCTTAAATATTTAAATATTTGTTATTGTTCAAAAATTATAAGTCGTAGATACTTGAAAATTTCACCAGTTATTCATATTGGCATTTTCTTTACATGATTTCATTTTCAAAATATTTTGACTTTTTTTGAGATATTTATAGACAACTGAAATTTTCAATTTTTCTGAAATGTCCATAAATTTTTTTTGGCCATATCAAAATACTAGAAAATTTAATACAAAGTTTCTCATAAGTTATTCTTATAGTGAATAAAAAATTATAAGAATAAAAATGCACAATTTATTTTTATTAGCATTTGAAGTTCAAATATTGACAAAAATTCGTCAAAACCATGAATATTTGCGAATTATTTTGTAGTTCAAAATTCATAATATYKTTTGTATTTKTATCTAAGGTTATAAAATTCAACACTAAGTTTTCCATAAGTTTTGCTTCAAATAGCTATAGAGAAAATTTGAAGCGTCATTATAGGAAAAATGTTTTGAGCG